TTGTGATTTCATCTCCAGGTTGAAGGGAGAAGAGCGTAGGGCCGTGCACTAATCCTAAAGACAACAAAAGCTTTGAGTCATGGGGTGGGTTGGGTGGGAAGGGACCTTAAATTGATTTTGTAATTCTGTTCCCTTGCCGTGGGCAGAACAGACCTTCCCGGAGTCCCAGGGTGCTCCCAGCCCTGTCCAGCCTGGCCTTGGACACTTCCAGGGATCCAGGGGCAGCCACAGCTTCTCTGGGGATCTGTGCCAGGGCCTCCCCACCCTCCCAGGGAACAATTCCTTCCCAATATCCCACCTGAGCCTACTCCAATAAATCATTGGAGACAAAAGGCTGGAACAAAACAGGTGGACATAGAAGGATTCTTTTATAAAAAGTCATTTTTAGGAGTTCTCTCCAGCTCAGTGGGATAAAACCGCCGGCCCTGGAGCGTGGCCGGGATCCAGGTTTCCAACGCCCTCGGCTACCGGTCCGACTGGTTTTTGGGATAAACCCCAGACACCTTGGATTGATCTTCAGTCTCCAGTTTCAGTGCCTGCCCCTGTGTGCCTGCCCCACATCCTGCTGCTGTGACCCCACTGGCACCTCCTGCTCCCCTTCATCCCACGGGGTGGGAAAAGCTGCTTTTCCTCACCCATCTCCTCGAGCTTGGGTTTTATGGGATCCCCCTTTCCCCTTTGCTTCCTGCCCCCATTTACTGCCTCCACACACCCCCTGCAGCATTGCAAAGCCTCTGCAGCCCAGGACCTGGTTAAAATATTTGCAGGGTCTCCCACGAGAGTGCTGCAAATTGGAGTTGTCCTGACACCTGAAATGGTGGGAAAGATGAAGAATTATGGATCTGCAGTGCCAGAGGGTTGCCAGCCTCTTCCCAAGCTGCTGTAGTGCAATATTTTAAATATATTAATATATTAATATTCCTGTTTGGCATAGACATATCCTCTGCTGTTTCTTGTTCAGTGCTGGTGCAGAGGGTTCCTGCCTTTGGGAGAACATGCTGAAAAAAACCCCTTAAAGCCCTGAATTACACCATAATCCAGCTTCAAATCCCACCTGGAATGTGCCAGAAGGGACGAGCCCTGACATCCCCCGCCACGCCTTCAAAGCCCTCTGATCTGCTGAGGCTCAGCCCCTGCCAGCAGACACAGAACATCTGTTGGGCTGCAGGAAGGGGAGAAGTTAACCTTGATCCTCAGTTTTCATTTCTGGGATTGGTTTTTTGGGGCTCTCTGAGGATGAGGTGCCCGTGGGGACGGTGTGCACAGGGAGCAGCGCCATCGATGTGCTGGGGCATGGAGGAGCAATAAAACCTGGGGCTAACCAAGAGTTTGGATTTGTAGTGACAAAACACCCTCAAGGTGTGCCAGGGGAGGTTCAGGTTGGACATCAGGAGGAATTTCCTGACAGAAAACCCCGGGGAGTGGTGGAGTCCCCATCCCACTCGTGGCACTCAGCACAAGGTGCTCATCACTCAATACTTGGACTCGATGATCTCAGAGGTCTTCTCCTACCTAAATGATTCTGTGAAAACCAGAAACCATCTTTAAACTCCTTTTCCCCGCTGGAAATAGTTCTCCCTAAAAGTAATCCCGAGGAACCTGCTCGATCCACAAAACCTCCTGGCGCTCCCCTGGGTGGCCCGACCTTGGCAGCAGCGCTGTTTGGGCAGGGAAAGGGTTAAACCCGATTTTTGGGAGCTTTTAAACGCGGCAAAACTCCCGAGTGCTGCCGGAGCTCGTTAGCCCCGGCGGGGAGCGGGGCCGGGCGCTAATTGGAGTGCGGCCCCCAGAGCTGTGAGGAATTAGCGGTGCCCCAAAAACCCTGACCCTGTCACTCAGTGCCAGTGACCCCCCCAGAGCTGTGAGGAATTAGCGGTGCCCCAAAAACCCTGACCCTGTCACTCAGTGCCACTGACCCCCCCAGAGCTGTGAGGAATTAGCGGTGCCCCAAAAACCCTGACCCTGTCACTCAGTGCCACTGACCCCCCCCAGAGCTGAGAGGAATTAGCGGTGCCCCAAAACCCCTGACCCTGTCACTCAGTGCCACTGACCCTCCCGACCTGTCCGCGGGGCGCTGCTCCCTCCGGGGAGGGATTTTGACCCCCGAGCGGCGCAGCTGCTGCTGGAAAAGCTGCGGCTGGCAGGAATGAAACTTTTGTTTTTCGCTGCGAGCCCCGGCGGTGGCAGTGGCTGTCACAGGGACATCTCCGTTCCGATCTTAAATCAAATTCACGGTGCTGCTCCTGACCCGGACTCTGCATCAGAGAAGTCGGATCTGGGGCGGCGCAGGACAGAAAAGCTGCACCACCCACGAGCTCCTGTGCCCAATGCTGGGCTCAAGCAGCTCCCAACAGCTGCTTCCCCCTGGATCCCGTTTTCCCAGGGATAATCCATCCTTAAATGCTTTTCCTCCACCCCGGGACAGTGGGGAATTGGGGTCCTTTTAAAAAGGCTCTTGGAGCAGCGCTGGGTGCGGGGAGGATGTTCTGCTGTGCAGGGATGGAGGGATGCTCGTGGGGAGGAGCTGGTGCTTGGGACGCTCGCAGAATCCTCGAGTGGATGGAGGGATGCTCACAGAATCCTCGAGTGGATGGGGGGACGCTCGTGGAGAGGAAATGGTGCTTGGGACGCTCGTGGGGAGGAGCTGGTGCTTGGGACGCTCGCAGAATCCTCGAGTGGATGGAGGGATGCTCCTGGGGAGGAAATGGTGCTTGGGACACTCGCAGAATCCTCGAGTGGATGGAGGGATGCTCCTGGGGAGGAAATGGTGCTTGGGACGCTCGCAGAATCCTCGAGTGGATGGAGGGACGCTCGTGGGGAGGAACTGGTGTTTGGGACGCTCGCAGAATCCCCGAGTGGATGGAGGGACGCTCGCAGAATCCTCAAATGGATGGAGGGATGCTCGTGGGGAGGAAATGGTGCTTGGGACACTCGCAGAATCCTCGAATGGATGGGGGGATGCTCGTGGGGAGGAACTGGTGCTCGGGACGCTCGCGGGGAGGAACTGGTTCTTGGGACGCTCGCAGAATCCTCGAGTGGATGGAGGGATGCTCGTGGGGAGGAGCTGGTGCTTGGGACGCTCGCAGAATCCTCGAGTGGATGGAGGGATGCTCGTGGGGAGGAACTGGTGCTTGGGACGCTCGCAGAATCCTCGAGTGGATGGGGAGATGCTCGTGGGGAGGAGCTGGTGCTTGGGACGCTCGCAGAATCCTCGAGTGGATGGAAGGACGCTCGTGGGGAGGAGCTGGTGCTTGGGACGCTCGTGGGGAGGAGCTGGTGCTTGGGACGCTCTCAGAATCCTCGAGTGGCTCGAGCTGGGAGTTTTGGGAGGATGCTGAGGGAGAAGCCGCGATGTTGATCCACGCAGGGTCCTGAGTGCCGGCAGTGCCCCGCATCAGCCCTTGGGGCAGTTCGGGAGGATCCACCGCAGCTTTCCCACCCAAAGCGCGGGGCAGAAACGCCTGCGCTGCCCTGGCCGGGATTTTTAAGGCAATAGTGCCACCCTGCGCACCGAGCGAGCCCCGGGTGACACCGGCGGCGCAGTGACACGGAGGGATGGCGGGCCACGTACCCCAGACTGCTTCAGGTGTCAGATGGGGGCAAGAAGCTTTTGGGACATTTTAGGGTCGGGTTTTGCTGTTTTAGTTCCTCCCTAAGTGTGCACACACAGAAGGGCACAAGAACAAACCCACACACGCTGTGTGCCCCACTGAGACTGTTGGGAAGGCATCCCCTCACCCTATAGAGTCCATATGGGATCCTCAGGCTGGAGGAGGGATCTCCACTGAGCTGGAGATGCAGCCACTTCCCTCTCTTGGATTCCAAAGGCTAATCTTCAGGGAATAACAGACATAAACCTCTTAGCTGGCATGCTGTCAGTGCCCATTGCTGATGAGCTGATTAAAATCGAGTGGAAAAGATTAAATTTGTCCCCCAAAAGCTACCTCAGGAGCTGCAGGGGATGGAGAGGAGATGCTCCTTGCTGGCTTTGCTCTTCACTGTTTGTCTGACCAGAGCTGGATGTTCCATGGAAATGTTTCCAGGCTTTGTAATCTCCACAAATTCCATCACTGTGCTCCACGGGATTATCTGTGCCCAAGCTGCCACCTGGAGCTGGAGGAGACAGTGCCGGGAAAACCAGTTAGAGGCAACATTTCACATAAAAGAGCCTCTGTCCCCATCCTCGGTCACTCCCCAGGGACATTCACAATGTTTTGCTTTATTTAAGCTGTTCAGAACTGTCATTGCTGCTCTGGACATGAGACTTGACAAACACAGCAGGAAAACTCGGGATTTCCTGGGATTTGAGGAATACTTGCGGCTCTCCCCAGAATTTGGCCAAATGTTGGTTGGGGCAGGGACCCTGATGTCCACAGAGTCACATCCCTGCCCCGGGGAAGAAACAGGAGCCTGTAGAAAGACATCGCAGGAATAGAGG